TTTTAATTTATAAATTAAATTTATTTTTTATTTTATTTTCATTTAGATCATTTAATTCCCCGCAGTTTAAGTACCCTCAACCCCCCATAAACTTATATATAGCGCCGCCGCCGCCAGCACGAAGGAACCCAGGCTGCGCGGAGCTGCACTGTAGATACAGCCTGAAATATTGAGAGATATATTTTTTTATTTATAAATAAATTAATTTTAATATTTTTTAAAACAATAAATACATTAAAATAGCAAAAATGTGAAATAATCTCCGCGGATACCTCGCCTCTTTGTTCTATAGGATATATATTTGTATCTATAAACAGAAAAAACGAACAACAAAATACAAAAAACAGAATGAAACGCGGTGTATATCTTTTTTTTAATTTAATTTTATTAATTTTTATAATATTTATATATATAAACGCGTAAAAAAACAAAAGAAAACGACTACAAATCGGTTATATATATATCTCTTTAGCTGCAGTAAATATACTATATATAGAGTGTATATAATAAAACGAGTGAAATCCATAAACAGCAACAAACAAACAAAATAAAAAGTTTTTATTTTTCTTTTTTAAATGTAATTTAATAAATATTTATATCGTTAAGTGCAGCACTGTCTCTACATGTACTTTATATATATCTTCTCCTTCTCGCCTGCAAGCTGCTTATGCGGGGCCAACCAAACACGCAGCAGTTCTCTGGAGTGTCAGTGAAAGCAGCAAAAAAGAAGTTTAGATATCTATGCATCTGCTGCTGCCTTGCTGCATGCGTTGCAGCAGGTTCTGCTGCTACTCATATGCGGCTGTCTCCTCCGCCCGGTCTCGGGGGGGAGCGTAGCCTCGGTGTAGATGGCCTCTATACGGCTGCATGCGTAGATGCTGCGACTGAGGATCAAGTAAAACCTCAGCAGCTGTTGGTAGTGTTTGTACACCCAGAAAAAGACACATCGCTCTGCATGCACGTATCTTATCGTGCCCGGCACGCAGCGGGATACATATTGAGCTCATGTAATTCAACCTAAAAGCTTTTACTGTTTAAATAAAGTAAAATAAAATAAAACAAAATAAAAAATAAATATCAGTGTATAGAGCTTTTAGGTGAATGTATATGCCTTGGATTCGCTGTGGCTGTGCACAGGCGGCGGGCACCGAGGCTGTCCGTACACCGGAAAAAAACACAGAAATTTTTTCTTAGAGAACTTTTGTTTTTAAAAAAGTTATTTTCTGCCTTTTAAAGCATGCAGCTGAGGTTTTCTTCGTAGATACAGGGATATATCTACTCCCAACAGTTGGGGTTTCGGGTGTATGTGGTGAGCTGGCGCGGAGGGTCTCTCCTATGCAGAGCAGCGGTGCTGCCGGTGCTGCGGGAGATGAAGGAGAAATGCATGCACTCCGTCGTGACGATCTAACAAAAACTACATTTCTGTTTTTTTTTTCAAGTCGACGGCGGAAGAGCAGCAGAAGTGGGTGCAGTCGAAGGAAGAGGAGTTCTCATATAAAGTAAATATAAAACATCTTTCAGTGAGC